GCTAGACCGGGTCCCAGAGGACAAGTTAGACCGGGTCCAGGGGGCAAGATTAGAACCTTTAGACCGGGTCCATGTGAACCCAGTGGGCCCGTCAGACTGGGTTAGACTGGACCCAGTGGACAAGGTAGACGTGGACCTGTAATGGGCCCAGACTGGACCAAGTGGGCCCATTAGACTGGTCTCAGTGGGCCAACCCAGACTTTAGGATTTCTGACTTTTTCCATGCATGTCTGAGTTGTTTTTTAAATAATACTGAGCTCTACTTCTGTATAAATGGTAACTAATCTATCAGTGTGTATGTCGTGTTACAGAAAAGAAGGAATATAGTTATTTTCTTCCCAAAAAACAGCAGAAATCTGCTGACGTTTTGATCCAAAACATGGATGTATGACCACACACCATTAAAAAATGAACATTTTTTATTATAAACAAATGGATTTAAGGAGCTGAAACCTTCCTAAAACAGGCCTAATGGCTTCTGGTTGGAAGGAATGTTCTGGGTGAGAGTGGAAACTTCCAGAAAGTGAAAGATAATGAGCATTTTGGGGCCTGATTGACCTTATCTGAGCAGATGGACCCGTTTGGCTGGTCCAGACCACCGGGGTCACTTATTCTTTCACACATTCTGCTCAGAGCTTCTGACTCAATTCACGAGCAGCTTCCAAACACCAGAAAATCCAGTTCCAGTCTGTTTGTTTTTGTCATTTTTCACATGATTTATGGAGTCGTTCAGCTTCCCAAACCGGTTAAACCAACTGGAACGACCCTCCCCTTTGAAACGGTGAAAATAAGCTTTACAGCTCCGACTCTTAAAGAAAAGCAAAACAGATATTTTTGGGCAGTTTTTAAACTACAATAAATAATAAATCAGGTCAAATTCAATCATATAGAAAGTGAAGTACAGAAAATTCTGTATATCAGAATCAGAAATACTTTAATAATCCCAGAGGGAAATTATTTTTGTCACTAGCTCCATAAATAAAACAGCATATATATATATATATATATAGATATATATATACAAAATTCCACATAGAATATATATATATATATATACATAGGTCTAAATAAGTAGTGGTGATGTCTCTCAGAGGGTTGAATAATGAATAATGCTTTTTAAATTAAGAATCCTGTTGGGTTTTTTTTTGTTATACATGTCTATACATACGTACATACATATGTATGAATATCTATATATACATACACAAAATTCCACATAGAATATA